AATCGTCTGCAGTTTTCTTATTAATTAACAATAAACTTAGTGTATATGTACTCCTAAATTTGATGAAAGTGATAAAAAAATAGAAGCTCTGTCTCTCTTTATTCTGACATTTAATTAATTCAAAAGATATTTCAATATTTATTTGCCCAAAACAAAACAAGTTTACTCTAAATTGATGTTGTACAGTAAAAAAATGTTCTTGTGTTTTGCTTGTTTTGCATAGGAATATACTGAACAAAATACAAAGCATAATGTATAAAATAACATCTACCAGAGTTTTTTTTTTGAAAGAAGCCCCTTATGTCCATTCTTGTATATCAGTACATTACTGAAACCGATTTATTTAGCCGTGGGGGGTAACAACTGAAAATATGAAATAAACACACATGTAAGCTAAGACTCTCTAAAGAAACAGCATTGTTGTTGTTCGGCTTTTCATTTCGCCATTTGTTGATTCACTTGAAGAGAAGTAACGTAATATGGGTCAAGTGATCAGTTTGACATCAATCTTTTGTGATACACCTTCATATTTACATTATTTGTACAGTACGAATGATTTGCTTTGGTACCTGGTCGAACTTCACTTCTCCTCTGTCTGCCTGGCTCCGTTTCTCCAACAGGCAGCAGCTGCCCCCGCCTCCTCACTCAGTCACTTAGTGTCTGAGCTCGGATCATACCAATATTAGGGGGGATTTATGCACAGTCGTAAATTCCCACAGTGTGCGCTATGTGCTTCGAATATTGTGTGTAGTTTTTGTTTTATACAGTTGTCAGAAAGGCATCTAACTATGAAAAATTACACTCCAAAAGACCCCGGGCTTCTGAAAAAACAACCCGGGCTTAAGCCTCAGTGTTGTGAACTACTTCCTCTGCTAGCAAGGGTATGGGCTGTGTGGCTGCATCTCTCATACAGACGGTCTGTATTTAATCTCATAGTAATTTGTAATATGCATCAGTATACAGGTATCAATTTTACTGACAACCCTAGTAATTGTACTGTGTTTGTTGTAATTTTGATCTCCTGAAGTCAATGTGTATGTGTGCGTGTGTACAGGAGTGTGGAGGATAATTCAGAATAATGCACGAGGGTTAACAAAGAAACAATTTGGTGGTTATTTGTTAGCCTGCTATGAATGCAATCTTTGCAACAACTTTAAATGAGTCTAAAACCATAAATTTGCTGATGCTGGCTTGTCCCAAATATGATTACATGGAAAGCTAATAGTGGATAGAGAACTACCTTTTTCCTGCTGAGTTCTCCTGCACTTTAACTGAAAGGCGATTAAGGCAGAGTTAAAAGCATTCATAATGTTAAACTAAATAAAAGAAAATAGATGTAATGTGCAAACTAAAACACTGTTTGTCAGAGATTTAAAATGTATATTAGGATCTAAGAAAATAAAAATGATAAGTATAACAACCAGTACATTAAATCCCAATCAATAAAGTTGTGCCTCTATAAATTTTCTACATGTGATAAAAAGTAAGAGAACCATCTTACTTTGACAGTTGACTGAGGTCCTCACAAGAGAAAGGAATCAGCAGCTGAAAGTGGCTCAGAGTGGTGCCAGCACACCAATCTAGCACCAGCTTTCGGACCACTGTACTTTTCCCTGTTCCCACAGCACCATAGATGAGGACATTGAGCCCCCGGCCATCATTCCAGGTATCAGTGTGCTGAAACAGCTGTTCCACAGTTACAGAGTGATTACAGTGTGTTTGGGTTTGGAATGGAGAGCTGAGTAGTCCTGCCCTCTCCTCAGCATCAGTTTCAAGGATCAGTGGGTCGACATGCATGGTCTCAGGGCTGAAGAAACCTCCAAACTGTTTTTCCTCCTGAGGAAGGTGGCTAAACCATAGGAGGAGCTTTCTCTTGTGGATCTCTATTGGGTCTATAGAGAGAAAGAAAAAGAAGGTGTTTTTATTCTTTAAGTGGTGGATTTTCTCAGATGTGATGAAACCTTATTAAAGTGGTAATGCAATAATTAATTTAATACAATGATCAAATTGAATCTGTTTTATCCTGATGTACAGTGCTGTGAAAAAGTCTTTTCCTCCTTCCTTTTTGGACTCTGACCTTGAGTTTGAGATCACTGAGATCCACACTACTCAAATGTTTTAGTATACACAGTACTGTGCAAAAGTTTAAAGCAGGCGTGAAAAAATGCTGTAAACAATGAATGCTTTCAGAAATATAAACGATTGTTTATTGGCCCAAATGTATTCTTGTAGCAGGACAATGACCCCAAACATACAGCCAAAGTCATTAAGAGCTATCTTCAGTGTGAAGAAGAATAAAAAGTACTGGAAGTGATGGTATGGCCCCCACAGAGCCCTGATCTCAACATCATCGAGTGTGTCTGGGATTACATGGAGAGACAGAAGGGTGCGAGGAAACATCCACAGAAGATCTGTGCTTAGTTCTCCAAGATGTTTGGAACAACCTACCAGCCGAGTTCCTTCAAAAACTGTTTGCAAGTGTACCTAGAAGAATTGATGCTGTTTTGAAGGCAAAGGGTGGTCACACCAAATCTTGATTTGATTTCAATTTCGCTTTTGTACATTCACTGCATTTTGTTGATTAGTCAAAGTCAAATTACACTTTATTGTCATCTCCACTATATACAGTACAGTATATAGAGAGACGAGATGACAAGGCTCCAGGTGCATCAGTGTAAAAACAAACAAATATAACAAGAGTAGAAAATAAATATACAATTCAGGACTAGGGGCAAAGGGATCAGTAACAATTTATTTGAAATTTACAATTTACAGTTTGACGCTTAAGGTCACCTTGAAGTGATTTAAAGTGACCAGTGTAGCAACTTGTAAACATGAGCAGAATTCTTGAGAGTAATGACTGTCCATAAGCAGCATCTGCATTACAAAGGCAGTGTACGGGGAGTGCAATAGAGTCAGTTAACAGTTTGTTTGTTTGTTTGTTTGTGTGTGTGTGGTGGGAGAGCCGGTAGTGAGATTGATGGCTTGCGGGAAAAAGCTATTTCGCAGTCTGGAGGATCCCGATCCTCCAGACTGCGAAATAGCTTTTGCCCGATGCTGTGAAAGCGTCTGCTGGATGGAAGCATCGGCACTTTTGATTAACACTTTCATTTTTGAAAGCATTCTTTGTTTACAGCATTTTTTTCTCACCAGCCTAAAACTTTTGCACAGTGCTGTATACCTAGGGTATCCATTTGAACCCGAGTTATTGTATTCATAAACTTGGGTGTTCATGTCGCCCTCCCACCCAGTAGGGTAACAAGAACACCCCAGTCTATTACGGCTAAGTGATGTACAACAACAATGTACAATGTAAAACAACTTTGTAAAAAATGAAAGGGCAAAAGGCCCATTTTGCAGGCCTTATTTTGTAACAAGGAAATACCATCATTGTACTGTTCTACAAAGTACTGTGACATTACTACCAAACAATTGACTGATATTGCATTTAAGAGACAATAACTGAGAAAATGAACTGAAGTGTGGACCTGGTTCTAAAGAGTTTGAGGTAGTAAACTTCCTGCAGTAAAAACCAGAGACTGGCCAGGGTGCAGCCTCCATTCCCATCTGCCACATCCTCCATGTTTTGAGTAGATGACTCATCTGTCTGGAAAAAATAATGCATCATGCCGATTAGTTCAGCTGTTGCTTACAACCTTAATAAAATACAAATGCACAGAGAACAACATTTCAAGCACAACTTGCTTTCATTACTTTGCTGCTTACTTAATCTGATAATCACGCTAAGGAATAACATGTAGGAACAAGCTGTTGTTTGCATATTGCAGCAGATATAAGTTATTACACCTCCAAAGCACTGACTTTTACGCAACTGCACACAATTAATATAAACACAAATGAAACCTGTCTACTTTTGCTCTGAGAAACTTCCTGCAAGGTTCCTAAGAATTCTGTTGGGTCTTTATTACAAACAAAGAAAACAATGGAAATATGAACCAGTTTAAATGAATGACACCAGTCGTCGTTTACAAAAAAGTGAAATTCATAAAACGATTAACAGCATATTAATATTATTCTGCATAATACTTTGCATTTGCATTAACATTTGCCACAAGTAGATGGTGGTTCTTTACTACATCCCATTGTGGAAAATAGTCACATCAACTATTGTATGGACAATGTCTCTACACAGCCTAACATACCTCAACTTCTTGCACATTTTTCACACACTCAACAGAAACATTGAGCAAAGCCTGTTTCTATGAGTGCTGACATAAAGATGAAACTAACTTTCCAGTGACTAAGTTATGACATGTCCTAGCAGTTTACACACCTTCCACTACTTATTTAACAAGCCGAAATGCAGAAGCAGTGTGTAAATCAGTAAGTACATAAGTACACTCCATGATTCAGTAGCTTGTTGATCCTCTTTTGGCAACACGCACTCATGCACACACACACACAGAGTGAGGTGCCGTTTGATCGGTGATATTGCACACTGACTAAGGGGGGTGCTGTTGCTACTATAACAAATACAGTTATAATAAATACAGTTTATAGAAGTAGTCAAAGGAGCTTGCAAAGAAAAGCGTCTGGACTTCTTTAAGTTACTTGAAGACATTTCACCTCTTATCCGAGAAGCTTCTTCAGTTCTAAGGTCAAATGGTGGGGAGTCCCAGATTATCTGGGACATGCAGACTGGGCAGACTGGGAATGGACGACCAACCTTCCGGTTAGTAAGTGACCTGTTCTAAATTGACTGTACTGTTACATTTAGCAGTGAATCCAAATGACAGTGAGTCTCATTCCCTCGCTCTGAAACTCCCGCTATCGCCATATTTTTCCCTATATGGTAGTATATAAAAAGACATAGTATATAAACAGTGTGCTGGGTAGAAAAATTTTCCAGTTGGGAGGGTGGAATTAATGATGCATTTGCGCTGTGTGGGAGAAAAATAACTCACAGTGAATTATCTGCAGGACAGCTTAAGATATGCCCTTTTAACCGTCGTACATAGAAATATATCGAGTATATTCGATATATCGTACATCCCCACTACTATGCCAGGGCCTTTAAGTCACTAGGCATCAAGGTTCCGTTAATCACCAACCTGTGGGGGAGGAGATTCATCCTTTTCTGCTGCTTCTTTGTCTCGGGAAGTTTTCTGTTAACAGTTAAAGCATAAAGTCACACAACTGATGCAAAAACAATCTTACATCTGCATACATCTGCATGCATTTGTTTTCTTAAGACTCAAGACGTTTATTGTCATTTCGTATGGTGTTACCCAGCCTGAAACGAAATACTGTTTCTCACCAAATTCCACAAGATGTCTTTATTTAACACGTCACCAGCCCCCTTTGTGATAGCCTTCATATTTATTTAGACATATTTTGGTATTTCTAAGAATATAATAACTCTGCTTAGACTACATATAGCGTCTGCGTCTCTTCTGCAAATGCCACTGTCTCATAGCTAACAATCATGCAAACTACACATAAAATACAATAAGACATACCACCGTCTTATCGTTCGTCTCCCGACCACACGTTGTCCAGGAAAGTAGCTTAACGCATGCAGTATGCCGTTTCCTTTTAGGTTTTCAAATTTTCAAATTTGTCCAGTATCATTAAGGACTTGACACACAGAAACATATGTATCACACCGACTGTCATTCTTCCGCTTCACCGTCGATGAGTTTCATGTTTCAACTTCCGGTAGTGCTGACGACAAGCAGTCCAAAACGTAACTCTTATCCACCTTTCCATAACCTCGATCGAAAACATCAAGAAAGATCAAGTTCGAGGAAATGTGTGTCGGAAAAATCACGAGGGCTAAGAAGTGCAACGTAATAAAAATCTGACCAACTAAAGTACGCAATTTCCCTATTTGCTAGTTTGTACTTAGTAAGTTCACTCGGGAGTCTAGACTTCCATGGGAGGACGCGGGCGTGATGACATCACAGCTCAGCTCCAGCGATTTATTGGAGTGGCTGGAGTTACAATGGAAACACGGGTAACTACTAGAAGTATTTAAAAACATTCATAGATAGATAGCTATTTCTCTATATATCTATATATCTTGTCTTTAGAAAACCTCCTTGCCATTATTCATATTCATGACCATTATTAGTTGTCTTCTAACATTAAAAAAATCTTTCACTATGTCAACAGGCTTCATACAGTTGAGCAAATCACTAAGTGATTAAAGCACTAACTTTATTTCTCTTAATGAAAACATGCATGTTCAATCATCCAGGTAAGCAAAACCCAAAAAATTTAGTCTAAATTTTAATTCTAATGAAGTCATTTAGCTTCAATCAATTTTATAGACCAGGAGTAGTGAAAAATAAGGAGAAAAAAGGGCTCTGTTTTCTGTTGCCTATATTGTAGATGCTGACTTTGCCTCCTAATTGAAACAGCAAATGAGTACGGTCAGGGGTTACAATGGGATTCAGGAGGTGGAGAAACCCTAAAATTGGTTGTATTGGTTGGCTAAGCATGGGGAAAAGAACGCCAGCTGACAAGAATTTCTATTTTGAGCTCCAGTAGGTTTCCTTTTTGTACAGGCTGTGATCAACTGATTTGTGCTGCTGCTGTTCATTGTGGACTTGGATGTCTGAATTTAAAGAGGTGTAAGAAGATGTTTCATGAGCTGTCTTGGCTGATTTCCCTCCCCTACACTGACACTACACTGTTGCTGTCTTTATACTAGACATATAAAGTTGGTATGAAGGTGGAATTGAGTGAATGGATCTAAGCATCATCAAATCAATCTTTGATACCCTTTTTGCAACAAGAACAACAGGAACACTATAGCTGCTGCTGTACACCAACCCAGCACACTATTCTTTACTTTAAATCCATCACAACAACCTAACCTGTTTATCCCAAATCATGTTCAAACTGAACATGATTTTCAAAATATGAAAAAACATAACTAAACTTCATAGTCAGATCCAATATCTGATTTAAAAATGAGAACTTACAAACTTTAAATTTCCAGTTTATTAATTACCACTGAGCAGTCCTTCCTTTAAATATTACCACTCCTCTCCTCTTCCATCTTTCTCCATCTCTGAGTGAAGTTATCTTGTACTCTTTTTCTCTCTCTAGGAAGCAGCTCTACCCGAGCTAGCAAACGCAGAGTGTTACAAACTGCGCAAAAACAGTTTGTGTGTTTGCTGATATTTGCTAAACTGATAGAACCATTGCATTTGAAATTATTTGTCATTTAAAAAAAGGTTACTCCGCTTATGCTCCTTCTGTGGGGCTAGGTAGAAGCTGAAATACTGCAACTACAGATTATGAGCATCTAATTAACACTCATAACATGAGTAATTAGGCCGACACTGAACATGGATTATTTTAGGGGCTTGTTCATACCCATATGAACAAGTATGCCTGCCTCTGAGGAGAAAACAAAACAAAAAACTGACCACAATAATTAGTGGTGACCCAGGAGAAGAAAAAGGTCCCAAATTTGTATTTATTTATTTATTTATTGTCAACTGGTAAAGTATGTGAAACATTGGGACAAACCATCTATACTCAGGTTGCCTAGCAAACATGACACTAATGGCGAGGAACATTTACATTATTGTGCTTCACTGTTTGACAGTACTGAAGGTGAAAATATTAATATAAATAATTGTTCTTATTTTTACTAAGATATTTTTCAGTTATTATTTTATTTTCAGTTGTTACATACAGGACAGACATGACTGGGTGTAAATACTATGTGTAAATACTAAATATTGACTATTATTGTGCAACATGTAAGATCGACAGCGCACAGTGTGCTTTGAGGTAGCAGCCCAAAAGAGTGTAGCTTGTATCTGTGAGCATCCGTGTGTACACCTGTGCTTGTATTCAAAAGGTTCCTTCATGTAATGATCTTCTAAGGGGTGTGGGGAGCCATAGCCCCGTCCCCAGGGCATGAAGCAGGTGTGGAGGAGATCCAAGCTCCAGACATCCAGAGACCCCCAGAGCGCAAGAGTCCAGTGTGTGTGTGTGTGTGTGTGTATATATATATATATATATATATATATATATGTGTGTGTGTGTGTGTGTGTGTGTGTGTGTGTGTGTGTGTGTGTGTATATGTGTATATGTATTTGGGCTAAGAGTCTCTAACCAAAATATAAATGTAGCAAACTCAATGTTTACAAGGCAACAAATGAAAAGTAAATTTTCCATATAGTGACATCATTAAATTCTAAGAAACTAAATCGCTGTGATGGCATTGACATGAATTTCATCAAAAACATAATCAAATGTACTGTGAAACGATTTACCTACTTTTGAAATCTGTCATTACATAATGACTTATTTCCTTGTGAGATGTAGATTGCAAGGGTTGAGCCACATGAAGCTGGAGATAAACATCTCACAAACCAAAGGTCCATCTCTCTACTTCCACAGTCTAAGATACTGCTAGATTGTATCACTAAACTAAAGCCCTGGTTTGACTACAGTAAATTAACACTGAATTTCAGTAAAACAAAATTCATAATATTCAGGAATCTTACAAATTCTATTGCTAGGAAACTGATGATAAATAACATAGAGTTAGAAAAAGTAGCTGAAATAAAATTGTTGGGGGGTGATAATACATCACAACCTGGATACCCCACATTGTCACAGTCCCTCTGTCCTTACCAGTTGACTAGCCGCTCTGTCTTTGCTCTGTTTTGTGGGTGTATTCTGGTTTTAGTGCAGAAGCAGGACTCTCTGGTTTCTCCACACACCTGATTTAGTCATGTACCTGTTCCTGATGTCCTCATTGTGACCTCCTGATTTTGGCATAATAACTAGTTACCGTGCTCGTTACCACAATAATAACGTAGTTACTGTAACGCGTTACTTAATATTCATGCTAGCATGCTCTTCTTCTTGTGCTGAGACTACCGTCTTTGTACTCCCAGACATACTGTTTAAAAGAGAAGTTGTCAAATCAAGTATTTATTTGAATTTTAGGGGGAAAAGGGGGCACAAGGAAATACTTTCTTATTCTCATTTAAAATGTCTAGCTTTTAAAAAATAATAATCTGAATCTTACAACAAACAATTGATAGATTGATGCATATATACCATCAAAACAGTGTACATCACTGTCACAACAGTGTTTATTTTCAATCAAAGGCTTTATGATTTTTCCTATAATGGTGGGCCAGTCTCTAGTCAAAATGCCCGGGCCAATTTTCTGTCCCAGTCCAGCCCTGTATGCAGCTCATCTGCAGTCTGGTGTTACCTACATCTTCCTATTCAGAGGGCAGAATTTCCGAGTTCTGAGTACAATCGAAAGCACCACGACTGCAGTTTTTGTGTTGGATGTAAAAGGCGCACATGACGCTGTGACGTAGGCTAGAATCATGGCAGCAGGTCCAGGCGTGGGATTTCTCTCGTGGAAATGTGCACATTATCTTTTCCTTTCTATTGGTAGGTGGCACAGTGCACTTGTGGCAAGTAAGGAAGCTAGAAGACTGGCAAAGTTATGGAAGCAACACATTAACAAGAGAATTCTGAGTAAAACCAAAGTTACTTTCCCTAGTAACTAGTTACTTTGAAAGTAACGAGTAACTTGAAGTAACTGAGTTACTTTTGAGAGAAGTAACTAGTAATGTAACTAAGTTACTATTTTAAAGTAACTTACCCAACACTGGTTATTTTTGACTTTGTACTCTGGGGCTGAGTGTTTTGTGACAGGGGATGGCACTCCCAGTGATTTCCCCACTTTACCTGCTCCATGTCTGTCAGTACAACCTGTTCAGCCATCAATTCAGTTAGCTGCTCAGCAGCCATTAGCTCAGTCAGCCTCTCAGCCACCATCACAACTAGCATCATTACAACCTCTATGGCAGTCCATAGAGCAGTCAGTAGCACAGTTAATTGCTCAGTCACAGTCGTCGCTTGCCCCTCTTCAGGAGGCTGTGCCTACCCCGCCCATTTTGGACTGTTTTTCTAGTGCTCACCTTGAGCAGAGAGACAAACATATTAATACTGACATATTTCCTCATGAACTGGCTAGTTTTCAGACTGTTACTTGCTCCAGGGCCTCCCCAGAGGCTGAATTGCAGCCCTCACCTGACTCTGGACCCCTGGAGGCTAAGAAGCCAGTTGAGGACTGCACCCGGCTGTCGCTGCCTGAGCAGGGTCAGTGCTCCGCGCAACTGCAGTCTTCCTTATGTGTGCCAGGGGCCCACGTGCCTACTGGTTTTGCTCTGTGTGTGCCAGAGACCCACAAGCCTGCTGGTTTTGTTTCGTGTGTACCAGAGGCCCACGTGCCTGCTGGTTCTGTGACTGTTTTCTCTGAGGGGTCCGAGGAACTGCCTCAGCCTGCTGCTTTTGCTGGGGGGGCCGAGGAGCCCGTCCAGCCACCACCTGCGGCTCCCACGCCGTCGCCTGCAGCGCCACCACCTGCGGCTCCCACGCTGTTGCCTGCAGCGCCACCACCTGCGGCTCGCACGCCTGGTCCAGCCTCCGTGCCTTCATCCTCGTCTGGTCCAGCCTCCGCGCCTTCATCCACATCCACGCCTGCAGCGTCAGCCTCATCGCCGCCTGCAGCGCATGTGGTGGCTGGACAGGCTCCTCAATCCCCCCAGCCTGCAGCGTCAGCCTCATCCACGCCTGCAGCCTCATCCACAGCGTCAGCATCAGCCTCATCCCTCACAGGTATACACACGGGTGCTCACACACACAAACTACACCCTTTTTAGCTCCTACCTTAAAGCACACTGTGCGCTGTCGATCTTACGTGCTGCACAATAATGTTTAACACTTAGTATTTACTGTTATATTCCCATAGATCAGCATGATGTTGTTTATCCCTTGTTAAATGCTTGTTTTCTTTTTTCTTTCTCAACAGGTGATCCAGGTGATTGATATATGTATTTTTGTCTACTTATTTTGTTGGTTTTTGTTTTTTGCCCTTTATCCCCGTCCCTCTTCTCTGCTGTTTTTTTTCCCTCTTTCTTTCTCCCTTTTCTTTTCCTCATTCAAGTCTGTCCCGTATCTAGCAAATGAAAATAAAAAAGAAAATAAACAATAAAAGGTGAATCAAATAGACCATTACGGCAAGGCTGGGATGGTCCATTTGGTAAAGTAAATCCGTTGGGCATCTTTCTTTGCCTTTAGACAATAATTCTGATGGCAAAAGAGCCAAACGGGACGGGCAAAAAAAAAAAAGAGAGAAAAAGAAAGAAAAAGAAAGAAAAATCACCCTCATCCACATCATCCTCGCCTGCAGCATCATCAGCAGCAGCATCTTCCTCGCCGGAAGCAGCATCATCAGCAGCATCATCATCAGCATCTTCCTCGCCGGAAGCAGCATCATCATCAGCATCATCCTCGCCGGCAGCAGTATCATCATCAGCGTCATCCCCGCCTGCAGCTTCAGCGTCGGCTTTGGCCTCGTCTGCAGCTTCAGCGTCAACTTCGGCCTCGTCTGCAGCTTCACCTGGTCCGGCTTCAGCCTCAGATGCAGCTTCAGCCTCATCCTCCTCCTCATCCTCGCCTGGTACTGCCGCTGGCATGCCGCCATCCGGTCCGTGCCTTCCGCGTGGCCGGCCTCCGGACTTCTGTTGCCGCCACCGCCTTCCGCGTGGCCGGCCTCCTAAACAGTTTGCGTGCCGCCACCGCCTCCCGCGTGGCTGGCCTCCTGAACTGTTTGGGCGCCACCATGACTTCTTCACGGCTGGCCCTCTGGACTGTCTCATCCTGGCCTTCTGTGCTATCGGCCCCTGGGCAGGCCACCTGAGTGTATGTTGTGGACGTTTTGTTTGGGACTCTGGGGCCTCCGTTTTTGGTCCTGGTCCTGGTCTTGCACCAGTCTGCTATTTGGATCCTCCTTCTCACCTCCGCACGACTGCTGCCCCAGTCGCGACATATATATTCTGGAAAAAAGAGCAATAGGAATCAGAAATCCCCTTCAAGTAAACCATTAAATCACCTTTTTATTAAACTAAACATTCTTATATTTAAATACTCATTTTACCTCAGAACTGTACAAAAAATTTTTTTTTAAAAAGCAAACAAATGCCCCACAATATTCATAACTTGTTCAACAAGACCAAATCATCAGGACCTGTGAGGTATCCCTATGTTTAGCAAGCTGATAGTAAGGACTAATAAAATATATCATAGCATTACAGCCACTGGAACTAGTGTAACAATTGTGCAGATGAAGTTAAGAAAAAGTACATCAACACATAACTTTGCAAATTTGTGAACAATAAATTGCATGACTAGAGGAAAGGTTTCTGTCAGTGATTGGTGCAGTCTCTTTGTATTCTAATGATGCATTGTCTTTAGTGTTGTTAATCAAGGTGAGAGTAACACAAGTTCAAAGTATTATGTAGTATTATGTATTTGTCACATAGGTATGATTCCATATAAAACATTAACCAAACATAACTAAGTTTAATAACAAATATAAACAGATTATTTTCACAAGTCACAGTTGGCAATGTGCCCCCGGCGCATTAGCCCAGGGCACCAAACAGGCTAGGACCGCCTCTGGTGGGCAGCGACGTAGAGAAGACTGTACAAAGGCTCCCCCAGAAGTCTAGATCAGACATAACGGGAAACTGTTCACCTAACGTTGCCCACGCACTTAAACAATAAAGCGGCTTTCCCGGATATTAGCGTCTTCTGAATTACTTCAGTTTAAACCAGCATAATTTTGAGTTGTCTCCTTGTGTTTGCTAAAGCAAGACATAGCAGCCAGCCAAGACATTTGCTAGCATTCATTTAGGGAGCGAGTAATCGGCTCATTTTGCAAACATGTACAAACGCAGAAAAATTTATTCTGAAGTTCAACCGGAAACACTTTTGTGTATCTCGTTAACGGGTGCACGCACTTTAACGGTGGTAGCACTCGCGCTCCATCCTCTCTGACAGCCTCACAAAGTAGGGTTCCATCCTCGTCATGGCATCTGAAGAGCTCGCACGAAAGCTGCAATCGCGGCTTTCTGCTACACAGGAGGCCGTACCGAGGCCCGAGCCCGAACAGAGCCCTGTCCGACCCAAACCGCAGGGGTCAGATGCTGCCTGTGGAGATTCATCATCCGAGCTATCCGCCAAACTGACGCGTAGGCTGGACATCAACGAGGGCAACGCTGCACCACGAGCGACCCGGGTCTTCAACCCTTACACCGAGTTCAAAGAGTTCTCCCGCAAGCAGATTAAGGATATGGAGGGAATGTTCAAGCGGTAAGACTGCACCAATTGTTTGTTTTGTCTCTTTAAACATGGCAGTCACGGCTGTTGTTCTCAGTCGCAGAGAATGGGGGCGAACGAGCGTGCACGGCTGGATCATGAGATTAGCCAAGGTGCAGGCTGGCTGTCATCGTGTCGACTGATTTAGCGCCTCTGTGCAAACACTCTGCACGTTAAACCGGTGTCTTTGTAGTGATGTATCGTGCTCAGATGGAGGACTTCTTAAGGTCAGTGCCGCTCCCTCGGGAGACGACACACTGACGCCGAACATCTCCAAAGATGACATAAATAAACAATGCGCTTTAGGCACAAACACAGTATGCCAGAAAAATTAACGCAATGGAGCTAAAAGCCCGAATTAGACAAAATGACAGGGGATCATTTAGTGTGTGGACCCTTCGGATTTTTTGACATCTTAAAATGACACAAATGACACAGATGGCTCGCTGTGTGTTATCACCCTGTATAATTTAACTCCTATTAAAAAACGTATTTTACCTGTTTTTATGAATCTAGCTTGGCCTACCCCTAGCCTGGGGGTGGATTCGGTTGTTTCCCCCCGCTTTCTTTGGGTTACTTTATTAATTTGTGCCCTGATAATCATATAGGGCAGCACCTAAAATTGGTGTAACTGTCTCATTCTTCTTCAATAACAAATTATCAATGATAATCATATAGGGCAGCACCTAAAATTGGTGTAACTGTCTCATTCTTCTTCAATAACAAATTATCAAAGTATATTAAATAAACTAAAGGTTCGTGCAGTATTGTCTGTAGAGTCTTGTTTATTTTATATTAAAAATGCGATTCATTCTGCTCATGCTACTTTTCTCCTTTGTTCCCCATAGATGGCAAATGACAATAATTGTCACCTATTAGTTTGTAAACTGTTGTTCTAAAGTTTAGAAGTTGGTATTTCTGCAGTGTCATTATGTTTTGAAAACAATAAAGGAGTGGATCTGTCTATGAAGCCTCACACTTACATTACAAATGACCCATGACTGACAAGGCAGTTTGCATTTAGTGGTTGTGACTATAGTCATTTAGTGGTTTATCCATATATTTTCTCCCAGTTCAGGGTCATGAGCCAACTGCTATAGGGCAAGAGGCATGAATTGTCCTAGACAGGTTGTCAGTCTGTCTTATTCTTAACACAAAGAGGCAGAACCACCAATTAATATAACCCCACTAACTACATGTACAGTCCCGATCAAAGGTTTAAGACCATTTGAAAAATGGCAAAGAAATCATATTTTGTATGGTCAGTGTTGGGGAGTAATAGAATACATGTACCGGTGTTACGTATTTAAAATACAAAATATGAGTAACTGTATTCTGTTACATTTACCGCTTAAATATTTAAATTGTATTTAAGCGGTAACTGTAACGGAATACAGTTACTATGTTGAAATAAACTGAATACACAGGGGTCTTTTCCTGTTTCATATGTTAGGTTATTGCCTCTTTATCCCCTCTCTAATTTTTGTAATTCCATGCATTGCTGAAAACCCAAACAAAACACGCAATAAGAGGCACTAATGTAAGCGTTCTGTTAATGTTGGTGGTATCAGTTACACAATGGACCCAGAGCCAGCACAACAGAGCTATCAGTGCACGGGCAGGAATGCATTTCTTACTTTAAAATTCCGACACCACTTCACATTTAAAGAAGAAAGGAATGGGCAAAATCTGACCGTGATAACTATACAGTACTTACTGTACAATAAACAAAGACAAGACAAAGTGGGTTGTGCAATAAGTATTGAATACCAGGTTCAAGTTATTTTCAGGATATTGTAGACAATGCAAAATGTGCCAATATAGTATAATTTAGATGTGTGTTCAGCAACTATGTGACTGAGTGTGCAAATAAGCATATTGTTCCCAGGTCCAGTTTATAGTGGATTTGTGAGTCTTTTGGTGAGTATTTTAAGGTTTTTGTAAAGGTGTATGTGTATATCAGTCCTTTGGTGGTAGTGAGTTGAGGGCTCTGACTGCTTGGGGGAAGATGCTCTTGCATCTGGTCGTGTCTGGTCGTTATGGTTTAAATGCTGCGAAACTGTCTGTCAGATAGAAAGAGGGAGAACATGTGTGGGGGTGGAAAGTGTCCCTTTCTATGCTGTTCGCACGTCGGATGATGTGTTTGTCGTAGAGTTGGGTGGGAGAGGGCCTCCAGTGATCCTCTCTGCTGTCCTCACTATCCGCTGCAGAGACTGCTTTTCAGTGAGGGTGCAGTTCCCGTACCAGATAGTGATGTAGCAGCAGATGGTTTCTCAATGGTTTCCTGGTAAAATGATGTGAGATCAGGGAGACTGGCCTTCTTCAGTGGCCTGTCAGTTAGGAAGTCCAAGATCCAATTGCAGAGAGTGGTGTTTATTCCTAGTAGGTCCAACTTCTTTACCAGCTTCTGGGCAATGTTGGGGAGTAACGGAATACATGTACCGGTGTTACGTATTTAAAATACAAAATATGAGTAACTGTATTCTGGTACAGTTACAGTTTAAAAGGGTAGTATTCAGAATACAGTTACTTTGTTGAAATAAATGGATTACACGGCGGTCTTTCCTGTTTCATATGTTAGGCTGTTCCCTCTCTATTTTTGGTAATTCACCGCCGATGGAAACCCAAACAAAACACGCATTAAGAGGCTCTAATGCCTGTGTCTCAATCTCGCGACCCACGTCACCTCTACTGCGGCCCACATAAATGACGTGAAGAAATATTTTTAAAATAAAATAAAAAAATATTTTTATTAATTTGAAAAATTATTTAATATGAAGGCAATAGGCAGAGTGTTACAGGCATAGCCCTAAAAAATGTAGCCTCGTGGGCAGTGTAGTCCCTGCTGCAGAGAGAATGGACTGCCATACCTGTTATGTGTCTGTGAGCGCGAGGGAGGGAGAAAAAGGAGAGTCGAAATGAGTACAAGTTGTCACTGACCAGAAACAGGAGAGGGAAGCATGTAAATATAATAACAGCCACTGCAGCCAAAAAGAGTGCCTGATGAGCCCAGTTGCAAGTAAGCTATTAAGACTCGACTGTACACTGTGTTTGTGTTTTCCTCTGAAACAATAAGTTCCATTGGAGCAGCCTTTCAATGCTGCTCTCTGTCTCTCGCTAGCAAAGTTGAGCCAGACAACAAAGTAAAGCTACTTTTCAGCTATGAGCCGACACGGAACCCGACATATTAGCCAGAGGTCTTTACTACGGTTTGGAGCTGCGGACCTGTTTTATATACGTGTGGAATAGTTTTCTGTACGAGATCACTGCAAAAAGTGCAGCCTTACCTAATGTCCACCCTACTGTTACTCATTTATATTAAGATTTAATCTAGCTGGTATTGGTACGGCGAGTATCCTTCAGTAATAGTAATAAATCACAAAGCAATAGTACATTCATGTAGTTGTAAAAAGCTTGATAATATATTAAGTAATCCAAAGTATTCCGAATACATTACGTAACAGAATACGTTACAAAATACATTTTGCGGCATGTATTCTGTAATCTGTAGTGGAATACATTTTAAAAGTAACCTTCCCAACACTGCTTCTGGGGAATGACTGTGTTGAATGTTGAGCTGAAGTCAATAAACAGCATTCTGACATAACTGTCCTTTTTGTCGAGATGGGAGAGAGAAAGGTGAAGAGCAGACGAGATGGCATCATATATGGAGTGGTTTGGGCAGTAAGCAAACTGTAGCGGGTACAGATTCGGTGGAAGCTGAATTTTCATGTGCCTCAATACCAGCCTCTCAAAGCACTTTGTGATGATAGGCGTAAGTGCCATCGGCCGGTAGTCATTGAGGCAGGACACAGTGGACTTCTTTGGCACTGGGATGATTTTCATGGTTTTAAGGCATGCAGGTACCACAGCTGAGTCCAGTGATGTATTTAGGATGTCCATGAAGATGCCTGCAAGCTGGTCAGCACACTCCCGAAACACCCGACCAGATATGTTTTCTCTAATGGGGAAAAAATTTAACATTGATAAACCTGGTGGTTTCCAACATTACTGGTATGACAAGCAGATCCCACCTGAGATGTTTTCTGCACGCCACAGTGGAGCGGTGTATGGCTGTTATTCACGTTATTTTTCTTCCTCCATACAAGTGTAAGGGATACTCCAAGTTTTGAACTGCCAGCATCATTGCTATGGTGAGAGCAAGAACCTACAGTATCTCACAAAAGTGAGTACGCCCCTCACATTTTTGTAAATATTTTACTATATCTTTTCATGGGACAACATTGAATATATGACACTTTGATACAATGTAAAGTAGTCAGTGTACAGCTTGTATAACAGTGTAAATTTGATATCACCTTAAAATAACTCAACATACAGCTATTAATGTCTAAACCACTGGCAACAAAAGTGAGTACACCCCTAAATGAAAATGTCCAAACTGTATCAAAGTATCAATATTTTGTGTGTTCACCAATATTTTCTAACACTGCCTTAACTCTGTTGGGCATGGAGTTCACTAGAGCTTCACAGGTTGCCACTGGAATCCTCTTTCACTCCTCCATGTTGACATGATGGAGCTAGTGGATGGTTAGAGACCTTGCACTCCTCTACCTTCCATTTGAGGATACCGCACAGATGCTCAGTAGGGTTTAAGTATGGAGACATGCTTGGCCAGTCAAGTACCTTTACCCGAAGTTTATTTAGTAAGGAACTGGTCTTTTTGAAGGTGTGTTTGGGGTTGTTATCATATTGGAATACTGCCCTGTGGCTCAGTTTCTGAGGGGAGGGGATCATGCTCTGCTTCAGTATGTCACAGTACATGTTGGCATTCATGGTTCCCTCAATTAACTGTAGGTCCCAAGTGCCGGCAGCACTCATGCAGCCCCAAACAATGACATCCCACCACTATGCTTGACTGTAGGCAAGACACACTTGTCTTTGTACTCCTCACCTGGTTGCCGCCACACATCCTTGACACCATCTGAACCAAATACGTTTGTCTTGGTCTCATCAGAACACAGGTAATCCAT